TGAACTCATTTCCCCGTTCCTCCTGTGTACCAGTTCCGGTAATTGCTATCATGAGCCAAAATCTGGGAGTTATCCATTCTGCTTTCTTCCTGCTCACGAATCCTGCAACAGCCACCAAGTCAAGTCCTATCTGACCTTTAAAAAGGGAACTCATTTAGTAGGGCATGGTAGCGCATGCCTGTAGTTCCAGCTACTTGGAAGGCTGAGGCGGAAGGATCGCCGGAGCCCAGCAGGTCAAGGCTGTGGTGGCCGGGAGTGTGCCACTGCACTCCAGTCTGGGTGACAGAGTGAGACTCCAACTCAAAAAATTAAAAATTAATTTTAAAAAAAGGAACTCATAAACCTATACACTTTGCTCTGACGTCTCTGTCTTGGTTCAAGCATACACATATTTGGGATTACTACATTCACCTCCTAACAGTTCTCTTGTCTTCAATTTCTTCTCCAATTATTCCTCTATATTGCTGCTAATCCTCTTAGAATATAATGAGAATAATTTTTCACTGCTGCTTAAAATCTTTCAATTATTCAAAATAAAAACCTAAAATTCTTAGCAGAATATCCTGTCTCTTGCTGCTTCTTTAGCTTTAATAAACTCTTCTAATCTTACAACCAAGAAAATAAATTCCAAATTCCATCACTGCAGTTTCTGGAAATAGAGTTTATTAACTCAATGCCTCTGCATGTTACTCCCTCTTTCTAGAAAGTTCCTTCTTCGGCATGGTAACTGACTTACTCAAGACTCAGCGTAACCATCCTATGTGGCTTTCAACTTCATCTCTGTAATCCCACAGCATTTAACAAACACTCTTTCATATGATATGACAACTGTGTATTCTACTAAACACTGAAAACTATGAAAGTAAAATCCATTTACTATTTACTTTTTTGTCCCACAATGCCTAGCACACTGTCTGGCAGGAGTCAGTGATCACAACTATCTGCAAAATGTTTATGCCTTTTTGCTTTTTTCCAGGAACAAAACTAACACTTATAAAACATCCCTCAATAGACACAAAACAGCTACTTAGGGAAAACAATAGAAACCAGGCAAGAAGGCAGTGGACATAAATCACACTCTTCAAAGTAGCCCCCAAGAGCACACTGGTTTCTGCACTTTGTTTCATTTCCGCACCAACACATTCGACCTATTTCATCTTCAATGCTTATTCTGATTTCACAGAATACAAGTGGTAGGCACAGAAGACAAAATGGAAAGTATGACTTGAATCGGTTCTTCCAAAATGAGCACAGTCAGAACTTGTAAAATGCCACAGCTAAGACCTCTGGTCTGCCAGCCCCAATTTCACTAATAGTTGCCTCTAAAAGATATGGGAGTGAAAGTACAATGGATATTTTACAAACCACTTACAGAACATTCTTCCTTAACAGAGTCCCAACAACTCTTCCTGGACTTACACTTTTTCTCTTATGGTAAGAAATTACATATATTCACTATTGACTATGTAAACATGCATTTGCATTTTTAAGCTTAAGATGAAATACTTTCCTTTCACCTTCCGCCAACTGGTCTTTGAACAGAAACTGCCAGCTGAGGTTTCCCTACTATTTGCCAGCTTTCCATGGTCATATGAAGGGATTAAAGAACCTCTTCCTGATATGGGGCATTCTTGATCCCTTTCTTGTCCCCAGTGGTACCCACACCCAACTTTGCTAACTGATGTAAAACAAATTCAGAATCTATTCAAGTCCATCATTAATTTTAGAAGTGCGTGAGGGAATCCCAGAGACCAAACTCTACACAGCATATTAAATCAGAAGTCCACAATCAAGTGACTCTCAATTAGCTTGATGTCAACATGAGCATTAAGCTAGGAACATTCTGATAACATGTGCCAAATTTACCATCACCTCTAACCAACAAACAACAAAAGCATATAGTCCATGCCATAACTAGTAGCACTTAGTATTTACATAATCATAAATTTGATGTTTTGACAAATACATGGATAGAAAAAAGGCATGGAAGGCTGAGGTATGTCACTCTCCAGTGCTGCACCTGCCCTGGTCAGGTTTTTCTGCCTCCAAATTATTAGCATCCTCTCCAGCCCTACTCTTAGGCAAAGAGCAACTGTCTTTGGAGGATCCACCCTAGCCATTCTAACCCCCAGGCTTGGAAGGCGCTGCCTTGCAACTGTGAGACTACTTCATCCAAACACTTGGGTCGCCAGGTTTTAATGTATCTTTACCCAGCTGCCAGTGCTATTAACTACAGGGCCCCAACTCCATGGAACTCTTCTTCTTCATCCCCCAAAAATGAGCCTCAGAACACTTGGTCCAAAATATGTATTAATTTCAAAAGGGAAATTAGTTACTTCACAGTGGAGACACTTGGTAGCTATCACCTTAACCATATAACCACAGTTATCACCAATAACAAGTCATGTGAATATCACATACTCTCAGACAGGAGGTGCTGAGAAGGCACTTCACCCTGTGGTATTCTTCTCAATAACACATAGCATCGATCTCATCAAGAGAAAACGTCAGAAAAAACTAAAATTGCAAGATATTCCACACAGTAACAGACCAGCACTTTCCCCAAAAGTGTCACAGTCATGAAAGACAAAGACTGAGGAACAGTCACAGAATGGAGATTAAGGAGAAAGAATAACTAAATGCATTGTGGTATCCAGACTGGATCCCTAAACAGAATAAGGACACCAGTGAAAGTTCTGGCAAAATGTGAAGAAAGCCTGTGACTGACAGCACTGTAGCAATGTCACTCTCTTAGTTCCGATCATTGTACCCTGATTATGTAAAATGTTAATACAAGGGGAAACAGAGTGTGGGATGTATGGGAACGCTGTGCTGTCTTTGTAACTCTTCCATTAAGTCTAAAATTATTCCGAAAGACTTCTAACCTTTTGCACCCAGAGACATCCCATGATCACCTATCAGTGACTCGACCACACTTTTTTATGAAGTAGTGAAAAACAAATCACTTCATGTTAAATATTATAGCACTGGACTCAATTATTTTATTGTAGCAATATTTAACTTACAATGGAATTCTGGACATTGAGGAACTTATTTATAACAAAAAAAATTAAAATTTTACCTTATATTTTTCTAACGTGTGGTAATGTGTGAAACAGTCACCGGCATGCATTGCAGAAAGGACGCACTCCTAACTCCTGAAAACCACTTCTCAACTGATCGACCATATCTCAGCATAGATTCCATCACTTTATTTGCTTTTTCATGCAATTTGAATGGGAAACGTCAGGGAAACAAACATTTTTGAAAAATTTGCACTGGCAAAAGTTTGAGCTGTATAATATCAGCAAGCTCTTTATGTCCCCTGAGAGGGAACACCTGAGTGGTTTGCTAGATTTATGACGTCCCCGCAGTGGGGACATTCAAGTGTAAAGGGCTAAAAAACTAAATTCCTGTTACCATACCTACTAGATCGATTAACCCTTAAAAAAAAAATCTATCCAGTTCTTTTTTTATTCCCTCTCTCTCCCCTTCAGTCTATTATCAATTTATTCTGAGCTGCTACTTTTTCCCTAAAAGGCTACCGAGTCCTTACACTTTTGGACTTCCCTAAGTAGCCTTATTTCTGCCCAGTACATAGTTAGACTCTCCTTCCTATCCAACCACAAGAACCTACCTAAAAGAGGTCACTTTGTAAACACATGAACACAGCACCTTACAACTTCACAGCAACTAAAAAAAAAGTGCTTTTAAATATATTTACATACAGATTAAGATGCACATGTAAATACTGTTACTATTTACAGATGAGAAAACAAGGCTAGAAAAATGAAGCGATCTGATCACAGATGTTCAGGTTCCAAGACCAAATCACTGCATTATCAAGTGTCCTGCATTTAAAAAAGATGCGGCTCCCTGGCTTCAGGCAAGCAAATGACCTCAAACACAGCCTGACGTTCTGGAAAATCGAAAGGTCCCCACAGTTCCAAATGTCCCTCTTTTGCGCCTCCACGACCCTACACGCGAGAATTCTGGAACCTAGCGAGAACTTCCTGCGCCCGCCTTACCCGTCCCCTTCACGATTTCTTCTCGAGCGGGCGTCTGCATCCCCTCCCAGTCCCAGGCTTTTCAGGCCGAAGCATCCCTCCTCTCTCGGTTCCCACCAACACCGCTGCAGGCTTCCAACCCCAGGCACTCCTCCAGGTTTGCAAGTCAGAACGAGGGTCCCAACTGCAGGACCCCCGCCCGGTCCCACGAAGTTAGAACCCTGAATGTCATTTTTCCTTCCCTCATTACAAAGCAAAAAACTGCCGGGCTCGGTGGCTCAGTCTGTAATCCCGCGCCTTGGGAGGCTGAGGTGAGTGTATTGCCTGAACCCGCGGGTTCGAGACCGCCTGGGCAACTTGACGAGACCTCATCTCTACAATAAATCAAAAATGAGCCGGGCGTGGAAGCGCGCGCCCGTAATTCCGGGTACTTGGAAGGCTGAGGCGGAAGGATCGCCAGAGCCCAGCAGGTCGAGGCTGCGGTGGCCGGGAGCGGCCACTGCACACCAGGCTGGGCGACGGAGTGAGACTACAACTCAAAAAACAAACAAACAAACAAAAAACATAAAACCCACGTCTTTAAAATAAAAAATTTAAATAAATAATAAAATAAATCCACACGCCAAGCAAGGGTCTGCCCAGCACGAAGCGCGGTGGAGCGGGGCAAGGACCCAGGAGAAAACGGCTCAACCCCATCGGCGCTGTCCCCACGGCGCGTCGCTCAGGACGGTCTATGCTACCCGATGTCTGCGTCAGTCAAGGGGGGGAGGACCGAGACCCGACCACGTGCGCCGCGATTAAGGAAGAAACAAACGACCGCAACACGCCTCCACGAATGGAAACCGAGTCACGAGAGCGCCACTAGCCCACGAGTGGGTGCCCGACACGCGTGAAGGTACCGAGGGGACACTTGCGCCAGGGGTTCGACCCCAGACGGCGA